ACGCTGAGCCTTTTTTTCAAGCAACATCTGTCTTAATTCTTCGGCCTTCCTTTGTCGCTCCTCTTGTCGTTTCGTCATGCTTTCCGTATCTCTTAAAAACAAATTTTCACGAAAAAAAAAAGTTATTCATGACAGAGACAATAATGAAAAGGTCCAGCTATACGTTATGGGAATTTGAGCGTAAATACTTCTAAAAAAATGCAAGAAATCTGCACCTATGAAAATTCTGTATCTGGCCCTAAACCGAAGCTTAAGCCGTTTACCTTTTTTTACTCGGTGAAGAGAGGAGCCTTTCTTGTTTCTCGGCAAATTCCCGCTGTTTACGATACGAAGCTAATTCCTGTTCCACAATATCACCCCAGCTTACCGTTGCAAAGAGTTCCTTTTCTTCTGTAACAAACAACATTAATACACTTTACGTCTACGTTACAGATTACCACTATCAACAGAAAAACGCACTATTGTAGGTGATCAAGGCGTCTTCGAAAGTCTGCTTTTTCTTCGTTTCACTCCGTGCAACTTCCTCAGCTCTTCGCTAAAATGCCTTCATATACAGACCGCTACTTAAACATTTGTTTCGTAATAATTAACTTTTATTAGCGCAAAAAATCTCACAAATCAAAAATGCAGCAAAGTCCACTAGCAACCTTTTCTGCTTCGTCAACTTCCTGCTGTTCTAACGCGGCTGCCTCAGCAGCTACCTGTCTTTCCAGTTCGTCATCGATACAAATGCTTTCTTCCTAAAGCAAAATATTGTTACCGCCACTCGAACGCATTACTGGAATTGCCCAACTGACACTGCTGTCGAAAAAAAAAACCGGACCTCTTCAATTTCTTTTTTCAAACTTTGCTCTTCCTGCACCAGCGATTCTTCTTCTTCGGTCATCGCCCTCCAATCATCATCTGGATCCATGCCATCTGGCAATACCAGTTCCGGCAGCAAGGGTTCAGACCTTCAAAAAAAAAAAAAAATTCTCCAACCCCGACAAGCTTATTTTATCTTGCTTTAATGCCCAGATAACATCGTATGAAAAATTTTTCGAAACGACAGCATGAAGTTTTTACCTTGAGAATTTCATTTACCTGTTATCACCAATGAAGATCCCACTTGGTTGGTTAACAGTTCCGATGTCTGATCCCACAGAAATACTCATATCATCCTGGCTACTTTCCTGCAGTTTTGCCTACAACACGAATTATAAGACAAAGTACCATTTTCAACATACTCGCAGCTTTTAATCACATTACACACATAACTGCGTAAGACAAACGAAAAAACAGTGAAAGCCAGCCGTCCCAGTTTTTGATGAACGGCCAATG